ATGTTGGATGCAGCAAGAAACTGCAACCCCGATGGCGAGGACCCTTCAAAGTCTTATCTTTTGATAAGCATACAGAAAACTACACAGTCCAGATGGATGGACGCATGTAACGCCGCAATACCACGGTCTTCCATGCCTCTGCTGTCAAGCGATTCCACCCAAATGACGACGCCAAGTTCCCTGGAAGAACCCACTCACGACCTGCACCTATCATCATCGACAAGAAAGATGAATGGGAAGTGGAAGAAATAAGAGATCACCGCCTTTGGCACGGAAATGACCAGTTCCTAGTCAAATGAAAAGGGTATCCAACATGTGAAAATATCTGGGAACCGCTAGAAGGACTAGAGTACACTATGGATATGGTAAATAATTGGTGGAAAGACAACATGCCAAACGAATCCCTCCCCCAACGATCAATTACATCACCATGTTCTGGACACCTACGATGCCAGAAACTGAGTGATGGCATGCAGAACTCGAAGCTAGAGATGGATTTTGGGCACCATACTTTGAGTCGGAATTCAAAGGCAGTAATGAGGAGAATCAAGCTATGGAGCAGGCTCTCAACAACTTAATCTAGTCACCAATCACCATCCGAATACCATAACGATGTCAAACTATGTAGAGCTCAATGTGAGGCTGCGACAACAGATTGTTGGACTGTTGTTGAACCGCGATGTTATTCAACTTGAAGACTACTTCGAAATCCTCTGGATAGATTACTGTCCTGATTGCGATCACGCTTGGGTTGATATACAACGCGAATCTGGTATTCGTGACTACTGTGATTTACATTTCTTTGAGTCTGAGTATTTTCTTAAGATTTCCTCTTGTCCCTGGTATAATACTTATGATGAAGAGTTTCTTGCAGAAACTGAAGCCATGAGTTTCTCGGAATCCGCTTTTGATGATTATTATGATTTGTTTGTTTAAACAGTTGTTTTGTTTTGGGGAATGTAACTGGTACGGGTACTCGGTTATTGGTTTTGTTTTATATTTTGTTTTAAGTATTGCTTTGATACTTGGTTTGTTTTAAGTATCATTTGATACTTGGTTTTGTTTTATGTTTTGTTTTATGTTTTGTTTTAAGTATCGCTTTGATACTTGGTTTGTTTTAAGTATCGTTTGATACTTGGTTTGTTTTATGTTTTGTTTTAAGTATCGCTTTGATACTTGGTTTGTTTTAAGTATCGTTTGATACTTGGTTTTGTTTTATGTTTTGTTTTAAGTATCGCTTTGATACTTAAGGAGTTTTACCAAAGAGTATCAATTGATACCTTTGATTAGTTTCGTTCATGCTAGACATGAACAGATTTGTGTATTTAAAGACCACCTGTTTCCGCGATAGAAAAGGCAGACTTCAACAGACAGTATTTCAATATACTTGGTTGAACGGTTACTTCTTTGTTCCTCAGTACACCCTCGAAGCCTCCTTTAGTTCTCAGCTCTCGCCTCCTCTCTGGAAGAGCAGGCCACCTGCCAACTATCGTATCTATTACCGATAACGTGATTAGCACCTTGCGAATACGTTACATTCTCTCATAAACTGAGTCCAATATGGCCCAATGACTACCTTTGTAACTTATTCATAATCATAGCATATGCTAACCAAATTGGAAATTGAAGTCGAATAAGATTTACTGAAATATCTTATAATGCTTGGGAAGAGATTCGAATTCGAGGAATGAAAACTTCAGTTTCAGCTGTCGGGCTTGTCATAATAGTACCTGTTAAATATAAAATTCAGATACAGGTTAGTTAATCTCAATAAGTAGGATACTTTAACTATAGCAAAATAGAATAAATTAATAAAACTTACCACAAATAAGATTTGATAAAAGTCCAGCAATCATAAGTCTAGTTCTATTGTAAAGTTCTTGATATGCATTCAAATTTCTTAAAAGCATTACTGGAGCACTAACTTTTAAATGTAACTAATGTGGTAGCAGTCCAGAAGGTTGTAATATATTAAGATACTGAGAAGAATACATAGCTTGTTCCTCATAAGTAACAGAATCTGCACTGAAATAGGTTCTAATAGCTGAGTCGATTGTTTGTTGAATAAGCAGTTGATAGTTGATATGATCAATATCAATATTTTGTGCTGCTAGGATGGCTCTTTCAGCTAGAGTTTCAATTGAACATTGGTAGAGGAAGAAAAACATTTCGAGGGGTAAATTTCCTCCATTAGGCCTTGCATACTATTATCTGAAAGTAACATTATTGGCTGAAGTAGAATATAATCAGGAATATGGGAGGACTTAGTTGTAGTTCCAATTTATAGAATATAATCAGCATATTCTTTCTCCTTTGTATATACTTCAAGAGTTAATTCAGAATGTTGCAGATGGACATTTTCCTCCAACTGTAAAACTTGGATCTGAGGCCAGTAGATAAAATGCTTTAAAGCTGAGTTGACAATTTGAGATTGAGAACTATCAGGAATAACAGGAAGGTACTGTCTGAAATCTCCAGCAAACAGCATAGTTATACTTTCAAAAGAATGGGAGTCTTGACGAATATCGGACAACATTTTTGAGACAACATCATAAGCATATTTGTGTTGTATAGTTGCTTTATCTCAAATAATGAGTGAGGTTTGAAGAAAGACCTCAGCTTGAAATGATCCATGATTGATTGAATAAATGGATTTGTTGTCTAAAATTAAGGGAATTCAGAAAGTTGAATAGGCTGTTCGTCCTTCCAATAGTAGGGCCTCAATTGTACTGGATGCTATTGCCAAAGTAATCTTATGCTGACTTCAAATTCCAGCAAAAATTGTATTCTCCAAAAAATATCTTCCCTGTACAGTACCTCCTGGCCTATCAAGAAAAAAACATTTATCCTGAGCCCATTTCAACTGACTTTAGAATAACTTGATATGCGTGTCTTTATGCTGAATTAAGCTGAGGTTCGCTTCTTTCAAAACACAGGTTCATCTCCAAATGATCCCTTAACATCTGATCATGCAGAAATCTATTTTGACTTTGTCTTTCTGTACATTTTAGTGCTATTTTACGGGCTTTTTGTACTGGCAGTTTTCAGGGGTCACGGGTACTATAGATATTTAATTTAATATGGTACAGTCGTGTCTAGAAAGTAATACTACCCCTCTACAGCAACCACAACCACCACTATTGATGAAATCAACCATAGAAAAAATAAAAGTAGAAATCTAATTAAAAGAAAACTGAAAGTAGATACAATAGGCTTTCAAAAAATCCTACTACCACCTTATATGACCTTTTTCTGCATCCAATACAGCCTGAATTCTCTCTGGCATCCTAACTATGCACCTATCAAATGTCTCCTGAGGAATTAAATCCCACTCTTCCTTTGCTACCTGAAATAATTCAGCAGCACTGTGGGGCCTTCTTTCTAACCTGGAGAATCGCTTTCTGAGGGTTCTTTTGAGAAGTGCCTAAGAATTCTCAATTGGATTGAGATCTGGGGAGTTGGGTGGCCAAGGCAATTTCTGATAACCAGAGTCTGAGTACAATTTCTGATTTTCTGCACCACCATGCCATGAGGCATTATCTGCAGCTAGGTAGATGTCTTTAGAAGGTATATCAAGACCTTCTATAGAAGGGATGAGGTAAGGCTGGTGGATTTCAGTTGTATATTGGTAGGAATTAAGGCCAAGTCTATCCCTTTTGCTAGTCCTTTCCTCCTCAGTTCTCTTCCTCACAAGAATTAACTCAGTCCTGCCACACTTAATTATTGCAGCATAGACCCCAATGCTAGTCCTTCCTGACTTAAAGCTACTAGTAGGCTTTAAGTTTTTTTCCTCCAACTCTTCACCAGCTCTTATCCTAACCTTCCTCCTAGTAGGATTTAGATCATAGATAATTGTAGCTTCATCAACAAAGACCACTCAATTCCATGCCCTGCTCCAATTCCTCCTTCTCCTAGCAAACTCCTTTCTCTTCTCCTTCTGTCCTTTCCTCCAAAAAGGCTTTTTCCTTGGTATCAAAAGCTTAAAATCAGAATCTGATATGATTTTATCTATACTAGTCTTGCCAAGACCAATATTCACTTTTTGGGTAATATCGCATAGCACTAAATGAGGCTCAGCATCGATAATAGCCTCTACTGCTCTTCTTTTAGTATTGGTGATCTTTGTTGGGCAGCCAGGCTTGGAAGCATAGTGGGTATCTCTACCTCTTTCTTTGACTCTGGTCACAACCTTTTGAACAGTTGTTTTAGAGACCCCCAAAGCCTTGGAAATTTTATTATACCCCATATCTGTATGCTTATACAGGGCATAAATTTCTTGATTCTGATCTTCATTTTCTCTCCGGGCATTGGTGGGGCCATGGTGGTTGATGGAAAGCGGGGATGGTTGCGTTGCGCCATTGCTTCGCCAGGGTATCATTACTTTCCGGACAAGACTGTACAGTCGCACCTCGTTATAAAGAACGCCAAGAGTTGGGGGGTTTTTGTTCGTTATAACGAGGTTTTGGAGTGAATTCCTTATAGCGAGTAATAGGCTATTTTTAAAAAGTAATCGGAACGGGAGCAATACAGTTACGCGACCCAGGTATAACTTAGACTTGGCAGCGGCAGACTTTGCTTTCAATTATACCTGTGAGTTATGAGCTTGAATGCCCTACGGTACTTACATAAACTACTGTGGGGTGGATAACCTACGCTCCGATTAGTTTAAAAATCCTCGAGTACTGTTTGTATGGGAGCAGGGGGCTTGATTCCCGTACGATTCATTCGTAATGGCGAGGTTTCTCATACAAAGAGGTCCATTATAGCGAGGTGCGACTGTGCTCCAAGTTCGAGCTGGGAAAAACAGAATTAAAGGAACATGATAGTGCGTTTCGTATGAGCTTACTTGTGCGCTTAGCCTACGGCAGAATGCAGAACGGGGGTACAGTACCGTACGAGTAAGGGAATTGGGAGGATGCCCCCTGCAGATACCGGTAACAGTTTTTGCCAAGAAGGAAGATGAAAAGAACGCCCCCCCTTTCGAAACTTGACGGGTTGGGAATTGATTGATCTCTCCTAATCTTTTCTTTTTTCCTCTTTGGAAAGCTGCGATTTTTTTTCTTGGATTGCCTACCGTACTGATAATTTCTTTCTTTTCTTTCTTTCTTTCCTTGCTTTATTGCTTTCTATCTTTCGTTCCTTACTACGCACGATCTGGTGTATCTGCTTGTTAGAAGTTTGACCAGTGGTTTTACGAGGTTTGCTTTACAAGTACAGTACGGCGGAAAGAGAGAGAGAGAGAGAGAGTTGTTTGGTTGTTAATAATTTGGGGTGCACTTCTTGAAGGGTTGGGATACAACTGCTCTGCCTGTTTTCCTTTTCATCATGGAAGGCATCGCCTTGATGCATAGTCAGGAACCTGCAGAGTGCTCTTTGGGCGCGGTGGAGGTTACGGAGGATCAGACACCATCCTCATCCTCATCCTCTATTTCACAAGATCCACGGAAACCTCCATCTCCTTCTCCAAGTGCTTCCCCCAGAACTCTTCAGCACACCCGTTCATCATCCATCGCAACATCGGCCCCGGCGCGGAAACGCCTCTCATTATCATTCCCAATCCTCCCAGCCAATTCAAACATCTCCCCGCGAAATGCATCACCCGTGACAAACTCGCCGCCAGGTCACACTTTTCGAGCCTCGACTCCCGGGATCGGAGACATAACACCTGATGATCCCATGGCCTTCCTGACCGCCCTAGCAGCCCAGGAACGCCGGGTATTAGAACTAAAGGAGGAGCTCGGAAAAGCTGAGACCGAGCTGGGGAAGATGAAAAGGCAGTGGGCTGTCCACGAGGCTACGCGGAAATTCCACGACGTAGCTGCTCCGATTGGAAGACTTCGACCACTGGATACCAGTGCGACGTGCGATGACCGGGAGAAGATAATCTCCCCGACGAGGGAGCAGTATAACGCCCGGAAGGCCACGCTGAACAGTCTGAATGGCACGGGGACGAGGAAGGTGTTACCGTCGCAGAGGCATCAGAGAACTTTGTCACTGCTGTCGACAGATAGGAATGTTTACAAGCAACCATTTGCTCAACCGAGTGATCTTGGTGACGAGAGTCCTGCGTCGGATAAACCGCCCAGCGTAAGGCGCAGTCAGACGTTTGCTCAGACGTCCATGCCGCTTCCTAGCTCTGTCTCTGCTACTCCTAGACCGCTATCAATGAACGACTTCTCACGGTCTGCGGGACAGAAGGGTCAAGAAGCACTACTTAGGACGGGGAAGCAGATGGCAGAGGACTTCAAAGAGGGTCTATGGACCTTCATCGAGGATCTCCGTCAGGCTACCGTCGGCGACGAAGGCATCCACTCTTCAATAAACCAAACCGGAATCCGCGCGTCGACAAACACACCCCAAGACCCCGCCAACCTCACCAACACCACCACCAAACCCCCAAATAAGAAATCCTCCAGAGCAAGCCTTCGCAGCATAACCCCCCAAAAGATGTCCCGGGAGAACTCCAAAACCCCTTCAACCACCAAAGAAATGGAAACCGAAAAACTAATAGACTTTTCCTCACCCGCCGACGAAGACCCCAAATCCCCTCGCTGGAGCACAACCTCCACCGTCCTTTCTGAAGCCACCGGCGCTATAACCCCTCCGTCGCCCTCCAGCACGCCTCGGACTTCAACTAGGTACTCCACCCTCCGTCCTGTGTATGCAGTACAAAGCTAACCGGTGAACCCAGCTCAACGACGTCAAACGGCGGCCCCCTCTGGTCTTCAGTAATAAATACTACCCAATTCAACCTTAAAAAGACAGCCACGGCATTGATCACAAGCGTCGAGAAGAGTCTTGCCCCGCTGCCAAACGAGACGGCGACGACGGGTTTTTATGTTCCGGGGAATGACGCGGGGCACTTGAGGAGTCGGTCGGGGTCACCGGGGGTTAAGAATAAGAAAGCTTGAGCGCTGTGTATGTGGTTGCGGGGATCGAGGCGGAAGGTGGGTGGTTTCTTTTGCAGGGTCGGAGTTGGAGAGGGCGTAATACTCGCGGATATGGACATGAACACGGATAGGGCTCGGGTTGGATAGTGTGGAATCACTGGAATGGGCTGGACTGGGTTGGAAATTTCTTTTGACATAGGTGGAAACGGGCGGACGGATATTGCTTGTGTCATCACCAAAACACGGCCAGCAAATGCGATATTACTATGAGGGGAAGAAGGGAGCAATTGATGGATGGATGGATAACGAGCTCATTTTCTCACGGCCATCCCTTCCCCCGATATATTAACGACGGACGCTGCCTGTACGATTTGTCTCCGCTAAGTTAGTGCTAGTGCTAGTTTGAAGGAGGGAGAGAAGGAGGGAGGCCCATTTGCAATATTTTGTTAGATCACGATTTTTTATATCATAATATTACTATACCTTACGAAAGAAACGGAGGGAGAAGGGAGGGAAAGAAGTCTTGTTTATAATGTTATATCATACCATTGGGGAAAACCGACATTGGTCGATTGTACGAAACTTTATAAATATCATCAGAGTGAAATAGAGCGGATACAAAACTATCAATTACCCTTCATGATCAAGAGAGTGTCACAAAAAAGAGTAATAAATTACAGTATCTTACATACAGGTCCTATTCGCCACCCCCCCGATCTACACTTCCTCCCCCACTCTCTCCAATCGTAGTAGCACGGCTAGCCAAAGTAGTCTACGTAGACTGCACACTCACTTCACCGGCTCAGTTCAACCAAGTCATAAAAAACACGGTAAGAAACGACAAGGAGATAAGGAAAGCCAATTGCATGAAATCCCTCGCTATGATTTAGTTTAAGCCTGCAGGAATTGTCAGGCTCAAACCTTTACGAAGACTCATGCTCCCTCCTCCTCTATTGTCGTCAGAAAACAGGAAAAAACGGCAATCGGGTCAAACAGGCACATTTCACGGACATTAGGTCGTTAAGGTGGGATAAAAAAAAAAGTACAATGTCGGAGAAAGAGCCAAGAAGGAAAAAATGTATAAAAGCGAAAGTGTTTAAGACAAAGTAGAGGACAAACAGGAATGGATTAAGCTCGAGGGGTTGAAAAGATACTTTTGCTAGGCGAAAAGCGGAGACCCTCATCTGTTCAAGCAAGTTAGAATCAGCTTGTCGACGGCGAGGATAGTATACAGAACATACTCTTGCGCTGAATATTCTTCTCGTATAGCCACTTATTTCCGGGAACAACTGACGCTCCAGCAAGCTTGACGCCAGGACTCCCACCACTGAACGGTCCCCCACTCGGTGATCCAATTCCATTACCCTGCCTCCTCTCCAGCCCACCGCCCATACGCAACGGGCTGGGAGTCATGGGAGGGGGAGTTTGTGGAGCAGACTTCCGCTGCAAAGTGGGTGATCCGGAAGTTGACGCACCGAATGAGGGAGAACCAGTTCGGGAGGAAGGAGTGGACTTGGTGTACCTTGGTGGGGTAACGATGTTCCCCATTGACGCGGACGCAGATAAGGGAGTGTTAGGATTGAGCCCCAACAGCTTACGTTGCTCTGGCGTGAGCGAGATGTCGGTGAATTCGTCGGCTGGGGCGAGGAGCTGAGTGATGGACTCCCCAACATTAAAGGCCAGAACACAGCGAGCTGACCAGAGAACGTAGGAGAAGTATTGGTGGAAGGTGGGGGACGAGGGGGTGAGACCAAGCAAGAATTCACTGAAAATATGGAAAGTAGGATTAGCGAACGCGTAGTAAGACAGATATGGTGGGGTATAGGACAGGGAGATACCTCTTTCGGAGGAAAGTAAACATCGCAAAACTGGCGATCAGTGCGAATGCGTTCATGGTAAGCCGTTTGAACGACATATCAGGACGCTTGTTAGCGTTGCGCTTTGCGATATCGTCCAATGCTGGATGGCGCCATGAGCCAGTGGTCGCTGGTGTTGCTGGGGCGCTCTTCATTGGCGTACTTGGTGCAGAGCTCATGTTCGATACCGGATGCGGAGGACGAAAGTGAAATGGAGCAAGTACTGGAAGCCGGGAGAAGGTGGGGGGGATCGATGGGATGGGGATGAAGGGCGATTGGAATGGGGGAAAGGCTGGGAGAAATAGCTTGAGAATGAGCGGAAGGGGGGAAGGGAGGGGAGGACGTGAAGTTTGGATTTCGGGGGTTCGAGGGCTCCAGAACCAAATCCAAGGAGTGAAGGGTGTTGGGTTTGGGTTGCTAACGCAATGGGGTGAACCCCTTTCTGTTAATCTGATCTTATCTGATTTGTGTTATCACAAAGATAATCTACTCGTACACTCGCCGCAACCCAGATCCCATACTACGTATTACTCGTAAAGCCACAGGTGAAACTGTGGTACATGTGTGGCTTTCGTGCACCGAGTTATCAGCTCTGAAACCTGGCCAACTTTTCCCCCGTTGCACCTCAGCATCCACCCCCAATGCCCCGATAATGCCCTTATAACCGTGCAAATCATCCAAGCTACCATCCAAGCTACATATCCGTGAATGTTGACAACCTTTTCCCCTATCCACCTTGTCAAATCTTTATCCCCTATCGCACAGCAGCCATGTTTGACGATCTAGAGTTAAATGTCGTTTCCTACACTCTCATTGCCCTGGTACTGGGCTTGATGATCCTACCCGCCATCTTCCAGAAGGACCCTGATATACACCCCATGATCCTGAACCGTCAATCCAACGTGTCTCCGTTCGTTGCTCTTACCTTCTCTAACGTTAAAGCGTGAGGGCATCACAGCTAATCTAAAGATAGTGTCCGTAATCCTAAAGAAAGCGCCGTTCATAGATCCACTTTGTCTCCACCAGGTTATCCCCTCGTTTCCGGGCTTGGATTGCCTACGGATAAGAAATACCGAACCCGTGATGGTGATATTAGGGATGTTTGGAACCAGGCAGTCAAGGAAGGCAAAGGCAAAGTTCTAAGTGTCAAAGGATCTGAGGTTAAGGAGCTTGATATCGGTTGGTTCCTAGTCTGATGAGGTTCCCTTGTAATTAGGACGGGGCTGACAGAAGACTGGTTTGGGCGCAGACCAGCTAACGCAGAATATTCACTCCTTGGGATCTTACATCAAGAGCATTCCCGGCGCTAAGAGGATCGCTATTTACCTTGCGAATGATGTTGAGAATCTTGTGGCTTCTTTTGGTAATACTCCTTCTATTGTGGGCTTGTGGTGAAGCTCTAACAGCGGCTTAGCTTGCGCGTTCTACGACCTGACTCTCATCACACTTCCATTTGACCCCAGGGGTCCTCCGGATGTTACATCTCTTCTAAACCGTTCAAAGGCCGATGTACTCATTGCGCCAGCTGGTGATCTTGCTCTCAACGACCTCAATGGCGCCAAAAATATCAAGGAAATTATCTGGGTAGTTGAACCAGGGTCTCAGCACCTTAATTGGGCCAGCCCAAATGGAAACAAGTCTTCTGTTTATCATGATGTGATCAAGATGCCTAGTACTGGCGCTGGAGACGTGGATTTGGATGGTCCCGCAGTCATTGTGTTTGGTCCAAAATACGCTGGCGAAGAGAGAAGAATTGAAATGGCTGAGTTCAACCATAAAGTTCGCTTCACAGTACAGGCATGTTGTCGTGTTCGGATGCTAATATTGGGATTATAGCAAATTATTGCTGGTGTCGCTTCTACAATTGCTTCTGTCAAGCCCGGCCCAGAAACACTCAAGACGGATGATGTCTTTGTCCCAGTTGACACTCTATCGGATATCTATACCCGTATCTTTACTTATGCAGCGCTTACGAGTGGTACAACAGTTGCACTGAATCCTATTGCTGGTACCCACGCAGACCTTGAGCTTTGCGTCAAACACGTTCGTCCTACAGTCATTGTTGCTTCCACCTCTACCCTCGCAGATACCGTTTCTATTACGGCGGGTTCGCGAATGGAGATCTGGCACAATATCCTACACTACTTCCAATGTCGTACCCTCGAATCTGGTCGTATTCCAAAAGGCAACGCTCTTATTCGCTTTAATGATTACACCCGCCCGAATGTTGGCCAACCGTCCCGCCTCCGTCTGGTCTTTAGCGCAGAGACGGCCGGCGATCTCGATTCCCACCCGCTTAATTCTGAGGACCTCAACGATTTAAGAGTGTACTTCGGGGCCAGAGTTGTTTACGGACTGAAGCATCACATGGTCGCAGGCCCAATCAACCAACAACATGTCTACGATTATAGAGTACAGCCACAGACACCAAAGCCAAGCAAGAAGAAGGAAATTCCAAGAAAATGCGCACATTTCGGTGGCGTCACGCCAGGATGCGAGGTTTTCACTAGGGATTGGAATATCTTTAAGGCCAGCGATGCAGGTGGCAGCAGAGGGGAGATTGTTGTAAGAGGGCCTACTGTTATCGGGGGAGAGGCTCCACTGGGCGTCGTAGGGAAGTGGTGGCCAGATGGTGTCCTGAGTTATGTGTAAGCGCTTGTGTTCGTGTGGGGAGGACATCATCAGCGGGGTTTTCCTTATTCTTTATTAACAAATTTAAGCCAAAAATTGTCTATTAGCTGGTTCTTTAAGTTTAGTCAACGGCATGAAATCAGTGGTATCATATTCGAGTCAAACGGTGATTCGCAGGAAGTAAGCAGTAACATGATAGCAAGCTTCCAAAAAAGCTCTACAAGTAAGTTAACTTAGCTCTAATATTGTGGGGAGTATAATCAACCAGATCCCGCAATGATATGATGCCTTTTTTCTTGAGCAGGAGTGCGAGTACTTGGATGGCAGCAGGCACCATATCTCTCACTGCCATCCAAAATATGGTAACATGTGACGCATAACTTCTTGACCTGTACCTTACAATCTATCCGCCGCCAAGATCACAGTACCCGAGTACTGGCACAAATACCCTACTCGAGTTCTGTACTCGTACATGTATCTATAATATAGCCGCCGTCTCGGCCAAATGTGTTCTGTTTACACCCACCTTTTTTGCCCATGCAGCTTGCGGGGGAGTCTGGGAGACGAGTGATGAGGTGTGAGGGAAGGAGGGATTGTGTTCCAACAGTTATGTGGACGAATTGGGATTTCCAAATTGCCGCAACCGCATTCCTATTTTTGTTTTTTTATTGGCTCGGGCCATGGCATGATAGACATCCCCTTTACCATAGATTTTCATTTCGAATTGAATGGGCGGAGAGGGCTCAGGGTTGAGGGTTAGCCTAGGTATCCTGGTGCACGGTATGATGCTGGAGCACTATAGCTCACAGCACTCAACTACGGTATTATAGCACAGCCTGATCTTGGAGGAACCCGGAGGCCGGGCGAAAACTCGGAAAGACTCACTTTGGTCATAAGTTTTGGTCACGGGAATGGGGGGAGCTTGCTATAATCTGTGGGGCGGATTGGGGTTGTAAATATTATTCTTGCGTAGGAAAAGGGAGGTTTCTCGGGAGTTCTCAAAGAGATGTCAGTAGACTGTTCTCCTTTGTGATGCACAGTATAGCGCACAAATTACATTTCTATCATATCATTTGCTTTAGGCGCTGCGTGTGCCGTTTCCGCCTTTCTTGCCCTACGCCCTTTGAGTTGCAGATACAAGTATCATATTATTACCATAATATTATCATACTGTAACACACAGGAGAGGAGAGATCTAATCTATTACACTATCGAGGATCTTCCAGACCCAAACCCTCTTCTGTTGTCTACCCTTTTGCCTTTACTCATTTCTTGCTGAAATCCATCTCTCTTCTTCTCCTCCTCCCTCTTCCCTCACATCATCCGAATTCACCTGCACCTTGCCTGATCACCCCTCCGCATCCTCCTGTCCATTACGGTGCCAAAGTTGCATTATCTTCGATTGCCTTCGCGATTGCCTTCGCATCTGCCGTCCCCTTCTGCTGCTCAAACGCAAACCACCCCTTCGTTCGCTATACGTTCACCAACTCTTAACTTCACCTTCCCACTTGTCCTTTCCACTCGCCCTTCCCACTAGTCCGCAAGATCTTGGCTCCGTTCGTTTGTTTGATAGCTTTCTGATTTCTTCACTCCGTCAAAAACACTCGCCTCCCCCCTGGTTTCTGGGCTCGTCTCGGTTCAAGCACCTTGCAGGTACACCTACACGTCGATAGTGTGCGCTGGATCGTTTGGGAACTCCACGGTTCTGCCAACACCCCGCTCTGGTTCTCCCCCGTGTCATATTTCCTGGTCACCAACTTTACGAGATCGCTTCCATGCGTAGTGGTTTCGTCGTCTGAATAATTTTATCCACATAACACGCCATCCCTTGTGGGTTCTAAACCTCCTCTGTTCCCTCAGCCATACAACACACGCCAGTTCTTTCCTGCACCCCTCCCTGTAAACACTATTTGTGCGAGGTCGGGATCATCTTCCCACTGGCCCTTGGAACCACTTAAGCTTGAGTTCCCGGTTCCCCTCTAACACTGCGGCTACTCCGTCCCGTAAACTGGTGGGATAATATTTACGACTCCTGCATCGTGCTTACACGAAACGAAACGAGCCTCTTTACAAGCACTTAGTCGTATTTAGCTGGTCACTTTGCTCCTTTCTTCTCCTTATTATTACCTTTTTCTGCCGTTGGCATCCTTTCTTTTTCTTTTTTCCCCTTATACCGGTTTAGCGGTCGTTATCTACTGTATCCTCTCATCTCCAGACTTCGTTCTTGAGGTGTGAAGTTCAGCAGTATTCGACTATCCGCCAGACCAACTTGAATTATCGTCGTCCTGGCAACAAGAAGAACTTACGGAGCTCTTTCATCCTCCGACGAAAGTGAAGGCGAACCTCCGATTTCCACACAAGAACGCGGGACAACAAGTAACCTAAGTTTGGCATCTGCGGCTCCTGGAGCACAAGTACAGCAAGCATCGTCTTCCGCTACCCCTGCCCAACCGTCAGGGAGTCAGGAAAGCCCGGCGAGAAAACGTAGACGGACCTCCGCATACAGCCCCAGTAGCGAGACTTCCGCTACTTCATACCTGCACCCTCGGTCCGCTAGCGGCACCAGTAGCAACGTCACCGGTAATATGAGAATCGAAAACAATGGGTTGAACTCTCAGGCCTCGGTGGCGGATAGTGGACGTTCGGGGACTAATGGAGCCTCGTCGGCCGCTGTGGAAACGAATGGAAATGGTGCTGGTGTTCGTAATGGTTCTGGGAAGTTGGAGGGTGGCTCAACGGCTTCGTCTTTTACAATGCTTGCCCCGCCTACACCTAAGCCGAGCTATTTTGGCCATGATCGGGAGGAGATCACTAGAATTGTGATTCAGTCGTTGGTGGATTTGGGGTATCACAAGGCAGCTCGTGTGTTGGAAGAGGAGAGTGAATACACTTTGGAGTCTCCAGAGGTATCAGAATTTAGGGATGCCGTGCTACAGGGTCAATGGAATAAGGCTGAGGAGCTGTTATTTGGGCTGGAAATTAATAAAGATGCGGACGTTAATGTGAGATTCTCCTCGATATCCTGATGGCGGCGAGGCAGCTGGAGTTACGGGTTACGGGTGGAGTTATGCTAGATTCAGATTTGGGCTCAAATGCTAACCGAGGGGTTGAATAGGCCTTGTTGTTTTACATGAGACAGCAGAAGTTTCTTGAGCTTCTGGAGGTTGCAGACGTTTCGAGAGCTTTACATGTTCTCAGGACAGAACTAACTCCCCTTAATCAGAGCGTAGAAAAGTTACATTCTCTATCTAGGTATTTTTCTTGTTATTTGCCCTTGAAGCGCTGGTTATTGCGACTAATGGGATTTATAAACTCGGGATAGCTTAATGATGTGTATATCTGCCGACGATCTTAAAGCACGAGCTGAGTGGGACGGCGCGGCCGGGATGTCTCGCCAACAGCTGTTGTCGGAGCTCTCGAGTAATTCAAGTTCTAATTGCCCTTTTGTGCTGATAAATTTTAACGTATTTTGTGCTAGAGTCTATCTCGGCCTCGGTAATGATCCCCGAACACCGACTCGCTTCACTATTACACCAGGTCAAGCAAAACCAATTATCCAAGTGTCTTTACCACAATACCGCGAATTCGCCTTCATTGTATACGGATCATCATTGCGACAGAAATCAGTTTCCGTTGTCGACAGTGGAAATTTTGACCGACCACAAAGACGAGGTCTGGTTTGTGCAGTTTTCGAACGACGGAACACGATTGGCCACCGGGAGCAAAGATTTTACTGTTATAGTATGGGACTTGGAGGTGATTTCCTTGGTTGTTGCGCAGGGTCTTGTTGCTAAATGCCTCTAAGGATTTTCAACCGATACATCACCTCAAAGATCATACGGGCGCGATAACGTATCTTCGGTGGTCGCCTGACGACTCGAAGCTGTTGAGCTGCTCTCAGGATAAACAGGCAAAGTTATGGGATACAACAGTATGTTTAATTTTTGGTCTATTCGGTGCGATATTCTTTAAGCTAACTCTCAATTTAATGCCTAGACTGGCGGGTGCATAAGAACGATGAGTGCCCATACTGACTGGGTCAGTTCGTGCGCATGGGCTCCGGATGGGCAGACATTCGTGACTGGAAGTGTGGATAAAGAGATGATCCTTTGGAATCTTTACGGAGAGAGTATCCACACGTGGACCGGCGCAAGGGTATACGACTTGGTAGTTACTGCGGACGGGGCACGATTAGCTGCGGTATGCACCCAGATGAAGTTACATGTTTTCAACTTTGTTACCCGAGAGAAGGAGTATGAGCGTGATCTAGGTGGCGTTTCCACATGCATCTCTGTTAGCAAGGATTCGAGATACATACTTCTCAACATGGGTGCTGGGGTTCAAGAGCTCCGGCTCTTGAACATTGAGACGGGTGCAGATGTTAGGCACTTTTCGGGAACGAAACAGGAAGAGTTTGTTGTAAGGAATTGCTTCGGGGGAGCCGATGAGAACTTTGTTGTCTCCGGTAGCGAAGGTTTGTTTTCATCATTGAAACATCGAGGTTTGGATACTAACATCAAGTCTATAGACTCAAACGTCTACGTCTGGCGCAAAGAAAACGGAGCACTGGTAGAAGTCTTGCCAGGCCACTCCGGGATTGTGAACTGTGTGGCTTGGAACCCTACAAATCCTTACATGTTTGCTTCAGCTGGTGACGACAGAAACGTGCGAATGTAATACCCATCCTTAGCGCCCTCCTTACCCGATTGACTGGCTAATATAATTGGGTACAGATGGTCAAAAGCTCCTCAACCTCAACTGAAGGGTAAAATGAAAGGAGTGGCAGACTCTTTTGGTCGATAATTGAACAACTCGTACCCTAGTGCTAGTCAATGGCTGGAAACAAAATGAGCAAAGGCGAATTCGTTGCATGGGGTTACATTATCTTGCATAGTCAGTCTGGCCTAGTATTAGTCTCTTACAATACTCATGTTTTTTTCTTTTGTGGCATGCACGAGTCGATAGCACAATATTTACAGGGACAGGAGTTTTTTCTTTCTTTCTTTTTCTTGGTGCTATAGTTTGAAGGTGCTTTCGTTTCCAGTGGCTGTGTTCGTGAGGATTGGGTTTGGGTTGTTTGCACAGATGGAGTTTTTCTGACCTTCAATTGTATAAGCTTTGATGATGGGACGTTGTGTGCACGGTCTGGATTGGATCGGGTTTGGAGGGGGGTTGGAGGGATGGATATTGTGTTTTTAAAATCGTGTGAGTGGTTAGTGCTCGTACTTATGGGCTGGCATAGATATTAGTTGTTGCTATTATAGTTTTTTTTCTTTCAGTTTTCTGTTCATGCAGTGGCTTTTTGGACCTTGGAGAAGTTGATGTGGGATCGGCGGGAGTCGCGTAATATTGAGCCGCATTCCGTTTTCTCCGGAAGCTCTGCTTTTTGTCCTCTACCCAGCACCAACATTGCCCCGCCACCGCTCCCCATCAACTCTTTCAACTTATACCACTTTGACTACAAAAGACTAAAACGGGTAGGAACACTATAGAGCAAAGAGAAACAACTGTGCAACCAATCGCCAAAAGGGATCCAGGATGTTTACCGGAATTGTCGAAGCAATCGGGAGTATACAGTCTTCTCCCCCCCTCCCTGCAACTAAACCAAGCAACTAATATTGCCCTTTCCCTGCCAACTAGCAATCTCCTCCATAACACATTCTGAAACAACCCAAACCACAACCTTAACAATTGCCGGTGCTGCTCCAATCCTCACTGACGCCCATCTCGGCGACAGTATAAGCGTAAACGGCACCTGTCTAACAATAACCTCCTTTACCCGGGACACCTTCACGGTCGACCTCTCCCCGGAAACTCTCCGACGCACAACATTCCCCCAGTCCCTCCCCTCCTCTTCTCCCAATCCGGTGCAAGTCAACCTCGAACGCGCCGTCAGCGGGGACGTACGTTTCGGTGGGCACTTTGTCCAGGGACATGTTGACACCATCGCTAGCATTGTCGACAGAAGGTCCGATGGAAGCCCAGTTGTGTTCAGGTTTAAACCTAGGGATATGGAAGTTATGAAGTACGTCGTCGAGAAGGGCTATGTTGCGGTTGATGGGGCGAGTTTGACTGTTGTTGCTGTTGGCGAGGGGGAGGATCAGGGGTGGTGGGAGGTCATGTTGGTTGATTATACCCAGGAAAAGATTATCACTGCTAGGAAGCAGGTTGGCGAAAATGTTAATGTTGAGGTTGACATTACGGGGAAGTATATTGAGGTTTGTTACTACTTTCTTATAGGAGTGGATGGGTGTTGGCTAAGGCGGTGAATCGGGGATTGTAGAAACAGGTTCTTGCGTACTTGGGCGCTGGGGATGATGGAGAAGGAAGGGGTGGCTTGTTGGAGAGGGTTGTTGAGAGGGTTGTCGAGAGGAAGCTGTCGGAGAGGAAATAGTCGCCCTGCGACGGGGCTGATATAATTGCTTCACGGGGCGTTGTATCATATATGCTCGATTGATCCACTGGATCTGAAAAGTTCAGATGGGTCCCAGTAAACACAAGCTGGCTTAGGGGGGGTAATGGAGCGAAGTGACTTCAATGGCATCGCTGAACACCTAGGAACCCCAAAATAATACCCAGGGAGAGTACTATGCCTTCCGTCACACAATTGTGACATTCCGGAAGTTCCCTTGAGTAGACGTTTGAGCGTTCTTTATTTTATTTCGATCACAATAGTGATCCACAAGTCAGCCCCTTTCCTATCTATGCCGATACTCCAAGTAAATAAGTGAACGCTACTTGTATCATGTGTCTGAGCACCTTACGCAAATGTTCCCCCCACCTTGACATGCTTTTCCGCTCGCACTGTACTGTCCGTCTGTAAATCCATAGAGTAGTTATCGGTATCGTTTTTGAAAAACTGATTTGTCATCTCACATAGTACACCAAGTCGTGCTTGCTTTTTCCGTACATCGACTCAAGCCCTATTCGAATATGTCCTGAACGCAGGAAGAGAAACGCGCGCGGGAAGCGTGGTCATAGTAAATCACTCGCTGCAAGACTGTGCAAGTTGGAACACCGAATACAAAAATTGCCATCTTTTGTCGGACATCCAAGGTTCGTCGAGAAAAGGGATTATTGTAGGAAAATTAAATAAAAATAAGAAAACGCCATTTTAGTATCTTCCCCAGTTTTGTATTCCCCCGCTTACAACCCAGAAAGGGTAAAATTAAGCAGCATGAGATATTCCTCGGATCTTCGGCACCGGCCGCCAAAAGGCCTCAGCCACACCCCCCCTTCCACCCCTCGGGCTAAGGATTGCCCTACGAGTACAGTACTGTTACATGTACTCGTACATAGCTTCTAGGCTAAAGTTCCTGAGAGAGGGGGCTTTTCGGATTTGTCTGCCGGGCCGGGAGGGGAGGGGAGTGTGGTGTGTGTTTTCCCTACTCAAGTACTAGTGGTGGCACCGGTATGGATACTAGTGCGGTGCGGTGGGTACGGTAATGATATGGTTGTTATCGCATTGTCGGAGGGAAATGGGTATGTTCGTTTTGGAGGGTGTGGTACGAGTAACTTGGGTGGGATAATAGTTAGAACGGTGCGAGGTGTGCAGCCTGCGGAGGAGTGGAAGGGGGGGAGGTGTCCTGTGAAAATTTGGGTGGCAAAAGCTGGTCTGATGAGAGGGGGGGGTACTAGTATGATAGATGGGTTCCGAACGGGGTTTGATTGTATTGGTGGCTCGTGGAGAGGAGATGTCAGGTGATAGGAGATAGGGAAGGGTGAATTGAGGATTTGTAAATATGGTAAATGGCTGTCACATTGGTCTGGGTTTAGTATTGGTGGGTTGGATATTACACTTGCAACAATTCTAAATAGGTCTAATACCCGGAATTCTAGAGAGCTATCATGACTTATATAGGACACTTTGGCAATACGGATTTATTGTAGGGCTCTTTAAGTAGATTTCCAGTATTATATAAGTTAATTTAGGACTGAGTCTAATTGCTTATTAGAGGCTAGTACTAGAATATCTTTCAATAATGTTATTAATATTTCCTTTTATGTAATAGTTTATTTGATTGTACTTCATAGTGAAATACTTTTAAGAAAGTTAACTGGTACTAGACTTATATATATCAGATGTAAGAATATTATTAGCTAATAGAAAATAGGAGACTAGTTTATTATAGTAATTGTATGATAAGGGGTAGGAAGGTATTGTAGTAAGGTTCAGGTAATAGAACTATAGTTGAAATTATATTTGTAACAGATAAGATAGTATTAAAAAACAGAAAAATTGATAAATAAATAAACAGTATCTTGTTTAAGAGTTTTCAGATATTATTAGCTTGGTTTTTCATTTATCAAAATAAGTAAGGAAACAAAATATTGTTAATTGTAGATAAACTATATAAGTATAAAGTAAAAGGTAAATAGTTATAGTAATATTCACGCTTTGTTACTCCTATTTTCCTCCCACATAGTTTGACAACACCACAGTCAACTATTGTGGGCCATCCACTCTCCCTTCTGCCCCCTTGATGGTTCCTGCCTAAGGGTACTGTTTCTCTACCACAGCCTCTCCTGCATTTGCCCCGCTTATTCTCTTTCTGCTTAATGGGAGAGTTATCTGGTCCTCGCCCAGTAGTTCTGTCTTACATGGAGGGCATGCTTAGCTTTAGTACAGTCAGCTTCCTCTCCTTGTTTCCAGTCGGTGCTGGCAGTAGTGGACATCTTTTTCCCTATTTGCACAATCCCTATTGGAGAACACCTCAGCTAGTAACTTTGGGGTCTGTCTCCTGGTTAGATTCAATCATACTCTCCTAGTGGCTCAGTTCAAGTTATGGTCGCCTTCCTCCCCTTGTTCCTCTGATTCCTTACCACCTGTAGGATCTCTTCCACTAAGTGATTCTATCTCTCAGAGAACAAGTAACTATACAGGAGACGCAGTAATATAGCTATAGTTTGGTTTCTACAGTTGGGTTTGCTCTGGAGCCTTCAGCCCTCCCTCCACCTCCTCACTTCGACTGTGTTGGCTCACACCCTACTGTCTTCCCTCCTTTAGCTGGTACCATACTACCTCCTTCTTCCAGTGTGCGGTGTTTTGGGTTTTTAGCCTGCTGCTTGCCCGTAGTTGATCTTTTGCTGATATCCTATTATACTGCTGGGTAGCATCTTCTCTGCCAAATCATCCACTCCTTGGGTCTGGCACTGTGATCCCATTTTTCAGTTAGAGTTCCTTGGTATTACACTATTTCCTTGGCTCAGCAGTCTGGTGCCATCAGTCTTCAGGCCTTTCACCTACTGCTCACTTTGGAGCAGATTGTAATATGGAAGTCTGGTAACAGTGGGCCATGGTTTACTTTCTTTTGTAGTTTTGTAGTATTTTACAGGTAGAGCTTTTCCTTATACTTTCCTATCTAGCTTGTTTGGTTTTCTTTCTGTTAGCTACTTGTAGATAGTAGGAGGGATTTCTTTCAGGTAAAAAATCTTCTTGGGCATTTGGTTGGCTTCTAGGTGAGACTCCGCCATATTCAAGTTGTGAGATATGAGGACTGGTCATCTGAGTTGATTGTCTTTAGAGTGTATATGGTTGGGCCCATACTAGAGGGTCTTGGGGGTATAGGTTTTCTCTTAGTCTAGGGTGGATATGGCATAGCTAGCACTGCATGCAGTTTTCTTGCACCTTAACAATGAATAATATGATGATAAAAAAATGGTTATTTCATAGGATACCCCTATAGAGAAGTCACTTTCACAGGATGCTATAAAAAAGTAAATTTCTTTACAGGATACCCTGTATGAATCTTTTTTCTCCATAGCTCCCCTCCTTCAGTTTTGTCTAGAAAATCTGGGATTATATAGTGACTATAAAGAATTAAAGGCCTTGAATAAACTGTTGAGAAAGTTCAGTTAAAGTACAGAAGCATTAAATATGATAATGTTGATAGGTCCTTGCATAATGACCAATCATACTGCAGGTTGAACATCATGGAGGTGCATGGGCAAGTAGTTCAGCATTAGGTAGAGCTTGGTATCTGGTAACAAGGGCATATAAATTCCATTGTAGTCTGTGATCTCCTGCCTACTTTCTTTTCTTTGCTGGCCTTCCTTGTCCTATACGAGTCAATAGTGGTTCAATAATTGATGAACTACCTTCTTGTCAATTTCCTCCACTGCCGAGTGTCTGTTCATTATACTCATTCTCTTCATTCAAGTTATGGCTATTTGAGTTATTGGGTATAGGTCTCTGTCCTCTCCTAGTAGTATTTGCTTCTGGACTGGTACTGTATTTGGCCACTACTGCTGCAACTTCGTCCAAATTACCAGTAGGAGTAGGAGTTAAAGTCTCAAGTGAGACAATAGGAATATTTTCCTTATAAGCATTGAGATAGTTCTGAATGAGTGGGTATTGAGGCATGTGATTGATCAGTGCAAGTTAAAGACGATAAATAACTGCAATAGCATGGCAGTACGCTATATCTATGTCAAAGAATTGTTAACAAGTGCATTTTTGAGCCTCCAGATTGACTATATAGAGAACTGTACTAGTACTGAGATTTGCTTTCATAACTTGAGTAGTGTTTGGGCTAGAGACTTGAACGGTAAATTGTCTAGCATGACTGAGGGTATTTTTGAGAGTCTGGGTTCCAAAGTCAGTAAGAAGACTGCCTCCCTCTACAGAGTACTTCAAAGCCCTTTCATAGCGCTCATAGTACTGATGCATTTCCTTATGCCAGATTCTATTCAATATTTCCAGTACAGGTTGCTCTCTCTCTTCAAGATAGGTAGAATTCTGTTAGGAATACCAGAACCCGATACTTAGAAATCACCCTAAGTAGGATAACCCCACTCGGAATCGGAATCTCTGGTCTCCAACACCCTCCTCCGGCTCCCTTACGGGGCGTGCGTCATCATATATTAATCTCAGTTGCGTCCTGTGACTATATTACCACAGAATTGAAGGTGTTCGAATAACACCATATATATCGTCACCGTCAGTCTGACCGGATTCTGTTCGCAGGATATATGAGAGGGGACTTTCGGCTAGGCCTGGGAAGTGGAACAGAGTAATTCTGTCAACTACTCAGAGACTTACTTGGCTTCAAAGACATGACACCTTTGGCACAGGCTGTAGGTAACGGGACGATTTTGCACAAAGAGATGGTATCAAATGGTAAAGGATCTCTACTAGAGACCAATACATTTACATTCACCAGAAGAGTCTAGAACTCCAAAAGACACTACCAAAGAAGCCAACGAACTTCACGGAGTGTTGCAACTGGGTTTCAGAACACGTTGTAGCTATGGGGTGATTCTCAATACCACAATGGTTACTGAAACCTACTACCCAGAGAGCAACCAAGGGTTGCCGACCGAGGGATTAATTACCAATCTGGTGGAATAGCTTCCTGCAAATTAATAGAAAGTTATCTAAAGAAAATCTATTAGTTGGGTATGGAGTTACAAAGGATCGGAGTCAGATGACCTACAA